CCTAAACTTTCCCGCTCTTAGGCCTCGCGTGAGCACCCCAGCCTTTATTTTCTCTGAGGCCCTAGGAACCTCCACGCATTCTTTAGTGTACCGCGCCACATATTGTCGCAAGGTTTTATTCTCCATTTGCTGCATAATTATCAGTGATAAATATGTTTTCTCATGCTTCCTTGCACTTGCGAACTGATTTAAAAACAACGTGCTGAAACGTTCAAAGTTATCAATGGACCCAGGTGGTAACTGGTGGAACCAAACCTGTGCCGAGCCCTTTAAAGTGGTCAAGAAGACTCGACAACTAACCGCGTCGCCATAACAATGTAAGACAACTATATTATCAAACGACCTCATGTGTCGAGCAGGGTCTGCCGAGCCGTCATAAGATAAACTAAGTTCTCTGAAATTGCTTGGCAAGACTCCTCCCAGCACCTCCTCTGCAAACGAGTGACCACGTGGCACTGCCATCCTTTTCTTCTGTACCCGAGCTTGCAGCTCGCGCATCTGCTCTGCCAGCCTTTTTAGGGTCACTCCTTCCTGCTGTGATGCCCCAATGAGATGGGACGTTGCCGACCTCTCGGCGTCATCATCCTGCCTCTTATGCCTCTGCATGTGATTAACGTGTTGTGTCCGGTGGGGGTGCAAGTTCAATTGTTGAGGCACAGGATGTCTAAGCGGCTCTGCCCTTCGATCAACTTCCTGAGCTCGTCCTATTTCCTCTGCTATGATTCTGTCCAACTCCGCCCTTGTCATATGAATCGTCTGCTCCGCCACTGCCGTAGGCGGATTCCCAAGTTGATTACTCCCTTCTACCACAACCATCTGTTGGTTTTCCTCAAGATCTTTTTGTTTGTCAGCCCCCCGAAGGTTGCCCCACAAGCCGACATCTCGTAGTGGGCTGCCAACGGCGATCTCTTTACCTCTACCGCCTTGAGTTTCTAGGGTCATACTTGTCTTCGGCTCTTGAGGTGGCGGTGTTGGGGTCAGGTTTGTCTTAGGTGCGTGCAAAGTCTCCTTCGGCGTGGCCATAGATTGAGACCACCTTGGCGGCGGGCCTGTCCCAAATGCCCTTTGGACCCAAACTGCATCCATCTCATTTGTTAAATTCTTCTTCGGATTCTCTGTCATTGCTCCTGAATAACAGACCTTCGTGAGATCGTAGAGAACAATCCAGCCGCTTAATTTGGGTAGAAGCTGAATCTAGGGTCCCCACAGACAGCGCCAATTTGTTACACCACGAAATCCTAAACCGTCCAACTGCTTTCCTCGAACCGAGTTCACCTTCCTTGATCGTCAGTACCTGCAAATATGTCGAGAGAGGTCCTGGCGCAAACATTCCGATGCTCAAGTCAATAGGGTTCTTTTAGAGAAAAAATAGTTTAGTATCTCAGAATATGCGTGAATGTGTGTGTGAAAGAATCAAGAACCTGTCTTTTATAGACCCAAGAATCCCATTATAGTGGGATTCTTAGGTCTCAGAGTCCTGTTTGCAGTATTTTAGGGCATGTGGTAACCGAGCTACCCGACTCGGGTCGTTCTCAAATGAAGGTTGTTCGGAGCTTCGTTTACTACCTAGTCGTCAAAGTCACACAACCGAAAAGAAGGTCCTACACATTCTACTCGCTTGAAAGGGATTGATTTAAGCTAAACTAATCTACGAAATTGAAGGCATTGAAAGCAATTAAAGCACGCAAAAAGATGAGAGAAATCAAGGGGGAAAGAGAGATTTTGGTTCGCCGAAGTCTCTATGATCAAACACGCACAAATAACCGAACATTGCCATGCTAGCTAAAACCCTAAGAAGCTAAACCAAGCTCTAGCATAAAACGAGCAAGCATTTAACTCCTAATCACACTTAGTCAAGCATTCTCGATCCAAAGATTCAATCTTTTCTTCCAACCAACACAAGCACAATATCAATTTTCACGAAAGCAAACAAAGATATACGAAGTAATGAGGCTTAAGACTAAGTACCCACTCTCACACGCGCTTGGGAAGAGAAATGGAGTCAAAAGCTCGAAACTTTACTCGAAACAATGTCGCCGGAAATTCACCAGAAAACTTGATTCATAAGCTTCAAACCAAAATATAAAAAAGGAAAAAAGAAAATAGAGAGGATTTTCCCAACTTAAAAGTTGGGAAATGAGGGTTGTTTTTAAAAATACAAAGCAACATATCTATATATAGCTACACTACAAATACACACTAAAACATGCACATTTACTAAAATACTCTCGAGGTCTCCATCATTTTCGCGAGCTCGCAGGCTACGTGTAGGCGTGGGCGCGCACGGGTGCACACTCTCGGCGTCGTGCCTCTTTCCGC